GAAGGCCAAGGTGAGAGGCCAGTGCCGAGGTGGGGTCAGTGCCGTGATGGCCTTGGTGCCGGGTCGTCTTTTGGCATAATTTGTTGCATCTAATAAGACCTTACCCTCTCGGTTACCATATCCTTTTGGGGAGTCCTCAAGTATCTTAGGAGAATGAGGGACTACAAGCTCGTGTATCTTTATAGGATACACTGACTCTGACTTCCAAATAGACAAGGATACGGTCGGGTATAGGTCGCGCGCTTCAGCGCCATCCATTTTCGGGGCTAGTTGATTCGGCAGGTGAGTTGTTAAAATCATTTTCTTCAGGCTGAGTTCTAACTGCATCAACAGTAACTGATCAAAATCCACTCGATCAAAGTAGTCCTTGATGCTTTCTTCCTCGATTGAACCCAACGACCTTTGAAGGTATTAATATTAATGGGGTTCCATCTCAATACCAATTGGCTATGAGAGGAGTAGCTCATGTCTATTATAAATTATTGTTAGGTACCTTTTCTTTTCAATGTGGGATCCTTAACATGCTCCCTCAAGATCGTGGCTCTTTTGGCTCATCGATCTTGACCGGATCTCATTTTTTGGACCCGATGCTCGTTTGAGCGTTTTGGACTCTGATACCATATTAATATTTATGGGGTTCCATCTCAAAACCAATTGGCTATGAGAGGAGTAGTCCATGTCTATTATAGACCATTGTTAGGTCCCTTTTCTTGTCAATGTTGGATCCTTAACAGAGGGAAGATTTCCCCTATGATGACTTGGCACTCCCACCCAAGTTCGTTGTCACTCTAGAGACCTTACCCTCGACCTCAGCATCAACTACAGTCTTTCTCCTCAATGCACTTGTTCTTTCAAGTCGCTAATCCGTTTGACAACTACGGTATTATCTTGACAGTCTACTGAACACCTCACTGAGCTATTCACCTTTCCATTTCCTCTACTTCCCAACTGTTTACTTGCATTGATGGTAAATTCTTCTGATCTGTCTTGACTGTCAATGCTACTAGTTATTTTAAGTCTCCTCCTGAACTATATGCAGCCCTGTGCATAACTCGTCTCTCTCATTTTCTAGCAATGTCAAACCTCAACACGTACACTAAAGCTTCTCTATGGCCAACAACCACTACCTCGGATCCCTTCATGAGTTTCCACCTACTTTCTACAAACTCACGTCTGTAGCTTTCGTCATCCAACTTCCCCGCTGATATGAAATTCATGGGTACATACCTAATACCATGTAAAACTTACTCGGTCCCGCGTCAGTTCTCTGGCGCACTTCCCGAATTCCTCTGACCTTAGAGTGTCTCTCATTCCCTATCCTTACCATGTCATAACTGCTTGTAGTGAGGGATGTGAACCAACTCCTATCTGAAAATACATGCACCGATACTGCACCGTCCACTAACCACCCTGGATGACGGATCCACGAATGTTGTATCCCTCACAACACATGCTAACATGTCATCTGACAAAACATTTGTCTGTATTTCTTTGGCTTGATCATCTTTAAGCTTCTTGCAGTGTTTCTTGAAGTGGCTCTTCTCATGGCAGTAAAAACTTTCAATGACACTACCCCCACTTCTCTTGTTATGTCTCTACTGTTTCCCATAACTCATCTTCCCTTTCCCTTTGTTTTGAATTGCCAACGCTGACTTCATATGGTTCTCACCACCAGAAGTGGATGCGGAATTCTTCCCACTTCCTTTCCTTCGAATCTCCTCAGCAATTACAGCATCATAGATATCTGAAAATTTCAAACTATTATGCCTCAACGAATTCGACATCGCCGTCTTAATTGTTTCCCAACTCTCAAGCAAAGAAGGCATCGACTTTATAGCCTTCACCTCATCTGAAAAAGTAATCTTCATAGACTCCATCTAGTTCATTAGTTGAGTGATCTCATTGATGTGGGAGTTCACCAATGTGCCTTCCTCCATATGAAGTATAAAGTATCTCGTAATGAGATACACCTTGCTGTTGGCAGAGGGTTTTTCATATATGTCCATCAATGCCTTCATCAATCCCATTGTTGTTTTTTGACTCGCTACAAGACTTGTCACATTCATTGACAAGCACAACCTAATGGTTGCTACGACCTGTTATCCATCTCCATTCATTCCTTGTTTGTCATCCCAGTAGCCGGTCATTCTTTCTGGGTTTGTGTATCTTCTTGTATGTAAGAAGATCTGTGACTTGCATCTTTTAAAACCTGAAATTTTCCCCATCAAAACTCAAAACCCCCTCAAAGTAGTGATCTTATCCTACTTTGAAAAGAAAATGGACCTAACAAGGGTTTATAATAGACATGGATTACTTCTCTCATAGTCAATTGGTTTTGAAAATATGGTTTTGAAAAGATGGAACCCCATAAATATTAATATGGTATCAAAACCCAAAAGCTCAAACGAGAATCTGGTCTAAAAATGGGATCCGGTCAAGATCGATGAGCCAAAAGAGCCACGATCTTGAGGGGAATATTAAGGATCCCACATTGCAATTGGCTTTACGATAGAACCCCATGAATATTGATAGCAATGTGACTTTCCACTGGATCCCATGAAGCTGAAACTTACATCTCTGATACCACTTGTTGGGAAAATTACTTATCAATAATATTTTCCCCTTCCACAATTCTTCAATGAAAACTAAGTCAATCACACAATAAAAGAAATATAGGGAAAGCACAGTTAAACAACACAAGAGATTTATACCAGTTCACCCCAACTATGGGCTCCAATATTTCGCGACAATGGGTTCTACTATGATTCTAGGATAATACAATGGGCAAATACAATTAATCTCTCAAATCTAGAGGCCTAGACAAAAGCCACCTAAAGCCTCTATAAACTACAACAATCGAACCCTAGGAAACAGGAATGAAAAACCTCACCAAATACCCACGAGAATAAGTTGTCGACAATGTTCTCCAACTCCGGGATCTCACCTCTAAAACTCTACCAAATACCACTGTTGCTACTCTCTGAAATTTGTACACTTACACGTTCAGCCGCCACTTTGATGTGCAACAACACATAAACAAAACCTAAACAAGAGAGCTCTATGTTTAGCAGTCCAAATATCCTAATTCTTATAGAAAAACAATATCCTACTTCTCGTAGGAATTTGTAGTAGTATTAAAAACCTTTTTCTTCAATAGGACATGAGTTTCTTGTTTTAGCTTCATTATACGAACAATATCTGTGATTATTTTTTAAAAGCTTTGCCTGATCATGTATCATTATTTTTTAAAGCTTTCTTTTGTCATACTTACAATTATTTTAATCAAAAGTCTGAATATGATAGGTCATCGAACTTTAAAAAATTAATATCTAATATATCGGGAAAGGCAAATACGTCTGGAAACTTTCAATTTTGTATTTAATAGATCTATAAACTTTAAAAATGTATAAGAAATCCACGAACTTTCAGTTTTGTGTCCAATAGATCACTGACATTGGATATGAAAATCCTAACGAATTGGTGCTAGGAACCTTTCGGGTATGTGAATCCCTAATTCACAAACACTAAAACCCCTAAAATCAATTTAGCACAAGGTTGAACACTCCACTATAGAGGTTGATCAAACCCAACATAAATGTTCAAAGCTTGCAACCTAGATCAATAATTGCAAAGGTTTGAAGCGCTCTTGGCTGGCTTGAAAAGAAATGGTGGCTCACAGGCACAAAATTACATTCAAAAACTAATATGTCAAACAACTTAGGCAAGACTTTAGATAGCCTCCCAACTAAACCTTAAATGCCACACCTACCAAAAAAACGAAAACAACACTGCTTACATAAAGAAAACTCTTAAATAAAAATATATTATTATTTAAAGTCGTAGGTGGTTCATATCAGACCTCTTAGAATTTTATTTTTTTTTAATTTCATGAACATATTATACATAAGATTCAATTTTGTGTTTAATAGGTGTATGCATTTTTAAAAACATTGAATAGGTCAAGGATGTAAATGAAAGTTTGTGAACTTATTAGACAATTTTAAAGTTCAAAAAACTATTAGACACAAAATTGAAAATTCCAAGACTTATTAGACAAAGTTCAATGATCTATTAGACACAATTTGAAAACTCGTGGATTAAACTTATTATTTAACTTTCCCTTTTATTTAATAATCTGACCGATGACAATAAATATAAATACAGGCTCGAAGACACTTATCAAAAATACTACAATCAATCATCAATAAAAAGAGATCGGTGAAGAAAAGCAAAGGGGAAACTTGGGAGGCAAAAGATATGATGGATTTGCTTATGGAATTGAAAGATGAAGATGGCGATGAAGAGTTGGATGATGAGACCATTATAGATTTTATTTTTGGTAAGCTGTTTGCAGGCCATGAAACTTCAGCTTATACTGCAATGTGGGCAGTTTTGTTTCTCACAAATCATCCACACATATTTGAGAAGGCCAAGGTTAGTGTTATTTCCTCAACTCTTTTGTTGCATTTCTTTTGTGCACGTGTGTGCGTCCATGGTATATGTGTAGATGTTTATGTGTGCGTGTGCGTATGTGTATGTGTGAAACAAGAAACTTTGGAATGTACTATTTTAAAGAGTGTTTGACTACTAGGGTTGAACTTCTATAAAATAGAGTTTAACAACTTAATTTTATATTTGGATACGTAGATTTGCTTAATATCGAGTTACAAATTTATTAATCATCTCATCAAAATAAATTCAGATTATATGAACTCAAGACTATAGAGAGCCTAAATCTGATAATGCATAATTGACTAGCATAAATTATAATTAAACCTGTTAGAGCAATATCTGCAAAGAAATTAAGGAAACACAAAATTAATCAATCCGAACCCAATAGTAGCATTGTTTTCTTAAGACAATTTTGTTCCCTTTATGGTGCTCAAGGTTTCATAAACAATTGTCTCCTAAGATAGAATGGATTACCGATCTATGAATGTAGCATTTCAATCACAGGACTCAACGAACACCAGCAGTTAAATAATCGTACACAGAATGCAATTGTCCCCTCGGGATAGCTTGGAAGTATTAAGACTTAGAACTTCCCTTAGTAAAAACTATAGAGTTTACATATCTTATCAGTATTTAAAGAACTTTGATGGTAAAGAGTTATAAAAAGCATATATTAACCTTACTCATTTCTAGGTTAGCATAGGAATGATTAGGAATTTATAATTCCTTCTTAGTGTTCCTCTGAGTTGTATACATAAATTTGTTTTTCCTTTTAAACCTAGATCTTGGGATGTCTAGTCAGCTAGGTTGGGTTACTGTTATGTAAACTCTTATATTATAGGGTTCAAACTCATTCCAATTGAAGACAATTTCACTTGCTCTCTTGTCAAAGCTTTCTTAAGTGGATCCGCAATATTATTTTTTGATTTCACGTAATTAATTGATATAATTCCATTAGAGAGCAATTGTCTTATGGTATTATATCTCCGACATATATGTTGAGACTACCATTATAGCGGTTTGACTATCACAATGTATACATATTGGGGGTACAGGTTTCGTCCAATTAGGAATATCTTCCAAAAAGTTTCGTAATCATTCGGCTTCTTCCTCTGCTTTGTCCAAAGCTATGAATTCAGATTTCATAGTTGACCTTGCTATACAAGTTTGTTTGGAAGATTTCTAAGATATACCTCCACTTCCAAATGTAAATATATTTTCACTTGTAGACTTTGAATTTTTTATACGGGTTATCCAACTTGCATCACCTTCAAGTACAGTCGGATATCTAGTATAATGTAAACCATAATTATGGTCTTAAAAGAGCTTTCCAGTAATCTGGACTTGGATGATTTGTATATCGACTCAACATAATTACTTCATATGTTATATCAGGTATTGTACAATTCATAACATACATTAAACTTCCTATTATACAAGAGTACTCCAATTGAGACATATTATCACTCGTATTTGAAGAAAAATGATGACTAGCATCCAAAGGTGTCTTTACAACTTTTGCATCAAATTTCTTGAATTTTTCAAGAATTCTTTCTATATAATATGACTGAATTTTTAACCATCTGGTTGTTCCATATATATTTCTTCATCTAATTCACTATTTAAGAAAGTTGCTTTTACATCCATTTCATGTATTTCAAAGTTGTATATATTAATATTCATGTGGTTCGATCTGAAAACCAATTGGCAATGAGAAGAGTAGTCTATATCTATTATAAACCACTGTTAGGTCCCTTTTCTTTTCAATGTGGGGTCCTTAACATGCCTCCCGAATCTCATTTTTGGACCGGATGCTCGTTTAAGCTTTTAGGCTCTGATACCATATTAATATTCATGGGGTTCCATCTTAAAGTCAACCCCATGAATATTAATATGGTATCAGAGCCCAAAATACTCAAACGAGCATCCGGTCCAAAAATGGGATCCGGCTAAGATCGATGAGCCAAAAAGAGCCACGATCTTGAAGGGGCATGTTAAGGATTCCACATTGATAAGGTAAGAGACCTAACAAGTGTTTATAATAGACATGGATTACTCCTCTCATTACCAATTGGTTTTGAGATGGAACTCCATGAATATTAATATGGTATCAAAGTCCAAAACTCTTAAACGAGCAACCAGTCCAAAAATGGGATCCGACCAAGATCGATGAGCCAAAAGAACCACGATCTTGAGGGGGCATGTTAAGGATCCCACATTGAAAAGAAAAGGAACCTTGCATATATTTATAATAGACATGGGCTATTCCTCTCGTTGCCAATTGGTTTTGAAATGGAACTCATGAATATTAATAGTATAAAGCTGCTAAGACTATTAACATGCGAATAGATGTAATTCTAGTAACGTGTGAATATGTATCAAAATAATTCAACCCTTCTTTTTGTTTATAGCATTTTGCTACGAGACGAGCTTTATACTTATCAATTGTTCCATCTACTTTCATTTTCCTCTTAAAGATCCATTTACAACCGAGTGGTTTAGTACCACGAAGAAGATCAACCAATTCTCATGTATGGTTTTGCACAATGGAATCAATTTCACTTTTTATAGCCTTTTTCCAATACGGTGCTTTTAGAGAAGAAATTGCTTCAACAAATGTTTGAGGTTCATTTTCTAACAAATATGTTAGAAAATCTGGCCCAAAAAACTTTCCAACTTTTGTTCTCTTACTATCTCTTGGCTCTTGAATCTCATTCAAATTTTCTTGATTAGATGACCATGATTCGTGTGTCATTTTCTTTATATTTGATTCATTTTTCATATTATAAGGAAACATGTTTTCAAATAATGATACACTTTTTGATTCAATAATTGTATTTGCATGTATGTCAGGATTTTCTGACTTATGTACAAGAAATCGATATACACTACTGTTAATTGCATACCCAATTAAAAACACAGGCAACTATTTTTGGCCCTATTTTAACCATTTTAGGTTTAGGAAGAGCCACCTTTGTCAAACACCCCCACACTTTCATAAATTTATAAGTCGGTTTTCGATCCTTCCATAATTCATATGAAATTTCCTGTGTCTTTTTATATGGAATTCTATTCGGGATGTAATTTGCTGTAAGCAATGCTTCCCCCACAAATTTTGTGGTAATCCTGAACTAATCAACATAGCATTCATTTGATTGAGGAGAATAAGGAGTAGTAGTTTGATGTACAATTCCATGTTCTAAACAAAAACCTTCAAAAGGAAATTCATATTCTCCTCCTCTATCAATTCGAAAGATATTAATATTTTTTTCCAGTTGATTTTCCACTTCAGCCTTGTAGTGTTTAAACACTTCAATCGCTTCATCTTTACTTTTTAACAAGTACTGTCATAAATAAATGTTATAAAATATTTTTTACCTCTCCTTGTAGGCAAAAATTTCAAATTACATATATCGCTGTGAATTAATTCAAGAGGTTAAGTTTCTTTTTCTACTAAATGAAATGGAGGTTTTGTCATCTTTGATTCAACACATATTTCACATTTTTTATTATGATCTAATGTGAAATTAGGTATTAGATCCATATTACCAACTTCTTTAAAGTTTTGTAATTAACATGGCCCAATCTCTCATGCCAAATATTAGAAGAACCAATCAAGTAAGCAGAATAAACATTCTTATTATTAATATTGGAGGTCTTGGGATCTTAGGGTACAGCAGTCATTACATTCATCTTGAACAGACCATCACTTAAGTAACCCATATTTACTAAGTACAAACTTGTCGGAAACAAAAACAAATTTGAACTCATTTTTGCTCAGCAGAGAACCAGAGACTAAGTTCTTGCTAATGTGAGGAACATGAATTACTTCATTAAGAGTCAGTTCTCTACCATAAGTAATTTTCAGCACCACTTTTCCTTGTCCCTCCACTTTGGAACTTGAAGAATTACCCATGTAAAGTTGTTCTCCATTTCTTGTTGGTGTGTAAATAGAGAACATCCACTTATTTGGAGAGATATGACGAGTGGCTCTAATGTCTATTCGTCATTTTTTGGTATTGCCTACCAAGTTACATTGAGACACTACAACAGATAAATCATGTTAGTAACTCCATCAGAAAGATTATCCATTTTTGTTATATGTGGTTGACCATTTGATTTCTTCTTTTGAAAAAACTTTGGCTTTCGGCAGTCCTTGGATCAATTGTCTAGGTTTTCCACAATTTTAACAATTTCCATTGAACTTCATGCCTTTGTTGTGTGACTGAATTGGACCAGCCCCATAAAACTTTCTCTTATTATTATTATCTTTGGAAGATCCTTCTACAAAATTGGCCTTTGAGGTCATAGGATCATTGCTTCCATTTTCCATCTCAGGTTATCGGTTATCTTCTTCGATTCTCAACCGAACAACTAGTTCTTCAAGTTTAATCTCTTTGCACTTATGCTTGAGATAATTTTTGAAGTCTCTCCGTCTCTCCATGATGGATGTAACTCCCCAATTATCTATGCAACCTAAAAAGATTCACTATCAGACATTGTTTTAGCAAAAAATTTGAATTAAAAAAACAAACAAATAGCTAGTAAACAAGTTTAATTTTTTTTTTAGTACAACATGTTGGGGAAGGGATTTGAACTCACAACCTCTTTGTTGGAGGTATATGCTAATTACCACTAAGTTATGTTCGTTTTGGCAGATAGTGTGATATATATACCTCTTCATTTATTGGTACATTTATAATGAATTTGGTATATAACATTGAAAATTCGATAACAAAAAGTATTATAATATTTCTATTAAGATCTGTAATATTTTAAAATACATTTGTAGGAAGAACAAGAGAAGATTATTAGACGAAGGCCATCGACTCGAAAGGGTATAGTTCCCTCCGAAGTTAAACAAATGAAATCTCTCTCCCACGTATGTATAGATTAAATTGGGTTCGATAATTATTTCTTATTTCTTGTTCATTCTTTTTTTTATTAAAAAATAAATGAAACATGTTTAGTAATCCTTTCTGGTTTTAATTTGCTTTCTAAAATTTTAGATTAAAAAAATAAAAATTTTATATAAAAACTAAATTTTCAAATCAAATATTCAAATTTTTTATGTAATATTTAGTTTTTTTCTCAAACATAAATAAAACATTATTTTACTATTTTTGCTTGTAAAAAGGGCTCTTATATGTTCAACTCAATTAATCTCTACTTCAAAACAAAGTAAGATTATTCTACCTTTAGTTTGGAAATTGTGATTTTAGATGTATGTAGCAATATTTTATAATAGGTACATTACAATCTAAATGTACGTTATGAATAAAATAATCAGCCTAGCAAGAAATCCATACTTTTTATTATTATTATTATTAGCCTTGGACATCTTTAATTACCTGATTAATGCCAAACCGAGCATAGCTCAAAGGTTAAGGCACCTAACTCTAACCAAAAGATCATGAGTTCGAATCCACATCCCCACACATGTTGTACTAAAAAAAATTACCTGATTAATAAATATATTTATTAATTAATTACTACAAGAATGTGAATAACAATGATATAATATGTCATATCCAGGTGATAGATGAGACATTTCGAGTTGGTGGTATCATATTTTTGCTTTTTCGTGAAGCTACAACTAATGTCAAAATTAACGGTTAGTCATTAGTTTCCATATATTTGTATCTTTCTTTCGTTGTAGGAACTATTTAATTATTGCATCTCTATCATAAAACCTTCAAATTACATCCACTATATGAGAGGAAAAATGTTTAGGTGTCTAATGGTTAGTGCTCATTGTTTGCCTACCACCTAAAAAATAGATATTTTTTCTATTTTTTATACAAAATATATATATTAGAAAAAACTGTCAAATTTTTATTGATGTACAGCCCAAAAAATATATAGGTGTTACGGATAAGCATCTTTAAGATTTTGAGATGTGAGAGTTCTTATTTAACCTTCTTCTTCCCCTCCTAATGCTCGAGGATTAATATGTAAAGAGTGAAATGAGAATAATATTTCTTATAATATTGGGCTTATTGAGAGTATGTAATAATAGGCAATATTTAATTATTCTAATACTTGTATTTTTTTTTTCTTCCATTTGATTTAGGTAAAGTTATACCAAAAGGATGGAAAGTCATAACTTGGTTTGGGGAAAATTACATGGATCCCAAACTGTTTCCTTCACCACAAGAGTTCAATCCTTCAAGATGGGATGTATGTAAAATTTTCCATTATTGCAACCCTTTCTTTTCTATTCTAAGTTGTTCAATTGATCACTTTTTACATGCAATATATGAGATATCATTTTGCCAAAGTTATCTTAACAACTTAGTTAAAACATATATTTTAGTCCATTTTCTATTTGGTTCCTTATGTTTTAACATTTTTCGACTATATTATTCAATGTTGATAGATGTTAAAATTGGCTGATGATAAACTTACATAACATGATATTTGGTAATCTCAGTGAAATTTAGAGAATGAATTAGGTCATCCAAATGAAGAAAATTTGAAATCTTATCAACTTCTAAGAAATTTGAAGGAGAAAAAGGTACCTTTCCTCTCTTATGTGACTTAATTTCTTCCAAAATTTTTTCTAACTCATTCAGTATTATGTCATGTAAGTTTATCATATCGATCAATTTTAACGTACACCAACGAAAATAGTATGATTGAAGGATGTTAAAATATAAGAGACCAAAATGTGAAACTTAGCTTTTTAAACGATAGGGTCAAATTGAAAAAACATCCTAGGGACTAAAACATATAACATATATTTAGCCTAACAACTCATCAACTTTTTTTTCCTGCAAAGGAACAAACTCATCATTGTTTTACATGATAACACATGAAGCAATGAATAATCAGCTCTAATAAATATCATTTCCTCCGCATTTCAAATTAGTAACACCTCAACATATTAGGTCTCAAGAATCAAAATTAATATTGAGACCATACATGAGTACCCACCTTATTTCAATGAAATATATATTGTCTACTTTGAATATATGTTTTAATTTTTTTTTTTTTACCTCAACTATGATGGTCTCATATCAATATATAGATGTTCTCTTTAATTTATAAATACATATTCTTCTTCATTGATCAATCTGCACAATTTGACAATGAATGATATAAATCTTTAAGTTTTTCATCCATCCATAGCTCAGCGGTAATTGACACATATCTCCAATTAAAAGGTTGTGAAGTTCGATTCTCCACTCCCACATGTATTAAAAAAGAAAAAATTTTCGATGAAGTGGCGATTTTACTTCTTTCTCACTTGTGTAATAGTATTAATGACATTTTGTTTGATTTTCTTGAAAAGAATTTTGTAGCCACACCAGGAGCTTTCATTCCCTTTGGATTAGGAAGCAGGTTATGCCCTGGAATGGATCTTGCCAGGCTCGAAATCTCAATTTTCCTTCACTATTTTCTCCTCAATTACAAGTGAGTTTTCTTTAACTTCCCTTCTATCAAATTTAACATTAAATTCAATCAAACTTTTTTGACAACACACAATAATCAATATATGTGTTTTGCAATGCAGGGTAGAACAGCTTAATCCAAAATGTCAGTTGACTTGGTTGCCATTTCCTCACCCCAAAGATAAATGCTTGGCAAGAGTACTCAAAGTTGCATGACACAGCTATGCTCGGATTAGCAACCGCTTGCAGTCGTTATATTGAAAATCTCCTTCTGTATTTTTCTTAAATTCCCATTGACATTCTATATGTTCATGGGTTGGATATAGATATATAAATATATCAAATATCAATAATATAAACATAATATAAATAATAAGAATTTTAACTTATTTAAAATTTGTGAAATGCTTATTTATTAATTTAAAAACTATGTTCACAAATTTTTTGATTTTTAGGACTTTTTAGAAATATTCATCAACGATTTCATAAAATTGAAGTTGTGACACTTCTATTGTCATGGACGTTTAAAATTTTAATGATAGCATATTAACTCTGTGTGATATGCTTCTTGTCTCTCATTTAATAATCTTGTAAATGTTCACAAAAGGTCATATGTACATCTGTACGGTATGATTGAAAGAATAAGAGACCTTTTTGCACAAAACTTCTTAGGCCTATTTTTGTATATAAAGTTAGAAATAGTCATTTGGTAATGTTTCTATTTCTCGTTTCTCCTTTCCAACTTTCTAAAGAAATCTAAACATTTTGCAACTAACTTTATTTCTTGTTTCTCTTGGGAACATTCTCAATCGGAACAAGTTTCTTATTTCTTATTCTCATTTCCAGTTTGTTCCAAAACATAAATAAAAATATGATTTTATCATATTTGAATCTGTGGATATTGGAGTCGTACAATTCTTTATATTTCATTAAAAATGGAAAAAATAGAAACAAGAAACGGTAACGTTACCCAAAAAAAAGAAAAAAGGAGGAGAGAAGTTGGGAAGAGAGTACTAGAAAGAAAAAAAGAAAGATTCATGTGACATCACGTGAATGCATCAGTGGGCTTGGTTCATTGATTCTGGAAGATTATAGTTGTATTAACAAATTGATCACTCAACGGTTTGGTTTGATATTGGATGACTCATCCACCGACTAGCTGGTTGTTCAAAAGAAAAAACCAACACCACATGATTGATTCATCTTTTAAATTGACCTATCGATGTGATCGAGTATTTTAACTATACTTGATCACCTCTAACTATGGTCCATCACCTTGAATAATTTTTCCTTTTCTCCACTTTTTCTTGCAGGCTGCCCTATATTTTTGCCCCAATAAAAAGAAAAATCTCATGCCAGCTGTCTTCCATCATTAATTAATCTTTCTGTATTTAATTAAATTTTGGCCACTAAATGAAAAGAGGAAAGAAAAAAAATGCTAAAATATAGATATGACTCCTTTTCTAAAACCTCAAAGCTCTGTTTGACTGTTTCCAATAGATTCCACTATTCATCCCACTCCTCACTCATCAATCCTCTCTCTTCCAAATAATGCTTTCATTTGGTCAAAAGATGAGTGTGCCACCACAATATCAATAGAGTTTTGCATCAATTCTAGATCAAAGGGATCAGATCAAGCTGAAGAAATCAACAATGGAGTTCAAGAATTGGTTGGTATTGGTTCTTGCAGCCTTTGTTTTTGTTTTTGGAGTTTTGAAGAGATTGAATGGTTGGTATTATGGGGCCAAGCTTGGGAAGATATGGGCCGAGCTTCCTCCCGGTGACATGAACGGGCCGCTTTTCGATTCTACTCTATCCTTCGTTAAGGATGTCAGTAATGGTCGACCTCAAAATTTCATTCGCACCTTTTTCAACAGGTCTCTCTCATCAATATTCATTTTTGATTTATTGAAAACAATAAATACTTCTAAACTATTATTGTGCACGATACGTTGATCGAAGATTTTTTTTTTCTCTTCAGCAACACGTGGAGTGTAGATTCAAACCTCCAACTTTTTGTTTGTCTTAACTATTTGAGTTATATTTGGATTAAGAAATATAGTAGTTACTTGGGACACTACTCACAATTACAATGATATTAATAAAATATTAAATTTATCGTTACGTATCAGTTTAAGTTTTTGGACCGTGGTAGGTTAACATAGTATAAAAGTCTATGTTTAGACTCGTCATTTCCTCATTGATTTGTATTATTATAGATATGGGAAAGTTGATATGTTCAAAACTGACATACTTGGGAGAGCAAGTATAATCGTATGCACGCCTGAACTCTGTCGTGAAGTTTTAGGAGATGAAGAAAAATTTGTGCCTAGTTTTATGAACATAAAATTGTTAACGGGTAGAAAGTCACTGGTGCAAGTTTCGAAGGCGGAGCACCGGCGGCTCCGGCGACTGACGACGGCGCCGATCAGTGGCCACGCCGCGCTGAAGATGTACATCAGCCATATTGAAGAGACAGTGGTGAGTGGGCTGGAGGAGTGGGCCAGTATGCAGAGGCCAATAGAGCTGTTGACAGAGATAAAAAAGCTAACTTTCAAAGTTATTTGGAACATTTTCATGGGTTCAACCACCGTAGACTCTTCCATTGAAGAAATGGAGGCTTTGTTTTATGATGTTGCATCAGGGTTCATGTCTTTGCCCATCAACTTTCCTGGCTTCTCCTTCTATAAATCGTTCAAGGTAAGTCGCTTTTATCGTTTTTTAATTATACTCTCCTCGTGGATGGACGATAAATGAGTCAATAATAAATTTATATGGCTGGATACTTAGGAAATAAGTAGTCTAAGAGAAGAAAAATAGGAAATTTTGTCAAAATTGTCTGAAGTGACATGCATGATTAGTTCTTATTCAAATTTTTAATTGTGTTGTTAAGTTTGATGCTACGTAAACTTAGCATTATAACATTTTGACAGAAAAATGATATAATTGGCTCAGATTTCATAATTTAGTTTGATTTTTTTTTCCTCCTTTTGTAACAAGAAGTTAAAGTTTTTTTTTTTTTTTGGGGGAAGATTATGAAAGAAAAATGTACTATATCTTATTGTTTTTCTCTAACCTTCTTGCCATCATTTACTACATTTTAAAACTAAATTAAACTTTATTAGATTGTGGATCTAATATATATTCTTTAAGCTAAATTCAAACCTTGGAAAACTTCAAAGATTTAGCCCTTCAATAATAACTTAATAAATTTCCAATTTTAAATATGTCATTGACATCTATATATATTTTGTGCACTGCCTCCAAATACAAACAAATAATAATAAATTAATAATGCAGAACTTCCACTAAAATAGTGTAATAATATATTGTAAAATATCAATTGTTTCTATATAATTAACAAAAAGCTAAAATTGCTTGTCTGGTTGATATTCTGTATTCGGCTCTATATAATATAATTTTCATTATAGATCAAATGATGGGCTGTCATGTCTGTGATTATTTTTATTTTAAGCTTTGCGTGTACTGACTTTTACCACTTGTGATATGTATCATTATTTTTTAAAGCTCGTTTCTTGTCATACGATTATTTTAATCAAGCTTGTGATAGTGTAATAATATCTCTGGAAAGTCTAATATGTTTTGAAACATTAAAGTTTGTGTTTAAACAAAAAAAAAATTCTAACAAATCCACTCACTTTCAATTTTGTGTTTCGTAGGTCCGTGCATTTTTAAAAACGTCAAATAGTTAGGTCGTCAAAGATCTAATTGAAAGTTTATAAACTTTTTTGACATTTTTAAAATTTAAGAAACAACCACGGGACACAAAATTGAATTGAATGTTCAATGACTTATTAATCACTTCTTTTTTCTTTTTTATTTAATAATCATAACGTTGACTATTGGTATAAATATAGGCCCGAAGACAGTTGTCAAAAATACTACAATTGATCATCAATAAAAAAAGATTGGTGAAGGAAAGCAAAGGGGAAAGTTGGGAGGGCAAAGATATGGTGGATTTGCTGATGGATTTGAAAGATGAAGATGGTGATGAAGAGTTGGATGATGAGACCATTATAGATTTGACTTTTGGTAAGCTGTTTGCAGGCCATGAAACTTCAGCTTACACTGCAATGTGGGCAGTTTTGTTTCTGACAAACCATCCACACATATTTAAGGAGGCCAAGGTTAGTGTTTATTTCCTCAGCACTGTTTCTGCAGTTTTATTTTGTGCGTGCCCGTGTGCGTGTCTGTGGGCATATGCGTGGACAGTGTGCGTGTACGTGGGCATACAAAAGTTTTATTTTGTATAGTCTCAACTATAGCACACTCCATAATCATAAACTATTCAATGTATCCGTTATACAAAAGTTTGTACAATTTAACTAGCAATAAGGGAAAGTAAAAAAAGAATGAAAGCAGACCAAATAATTAATCATAATTAGGTTGTTCTTTACGAAGAAAACATCTACTATATTTCCTAAAGACAGCAACGGTAATATTTACCAAAGAAGAGAAAGATAATTGACTGAGATGCAATCAATCACTAATGATTTTGTGATGGATTGTTCATTAGTGATTGATTGCAGGCTTTGTTCCCATTTATTTCTTAAACAAAATGAAGGAGGGATATTGCTGCTGTTTTAAGGAAAATTTTGGAGACTAGTTTGGAAAGCCTGTAGTCATATTTATCAAAAAGCTTTCTACTGTCATTAGGTTGATTGATCTTGATTTTCTGTCATCATTAAGTTGAATGAGAGTCTTGTTCTTTTACATCATTTCTCAAACTGCGGGTAGGAATTTCACGAACTCCAAGTTTGTTTGATAAGTCTTGAAAGGTTGCCTTGGTAAAGGGTTTGGTGAAGATATCTGTAAGTTTTTTATGGGATGACACATATCGAGTGACTAATGATCCAAGGGCTACCACCTTCTCCCGTACAAAGTGATAGTCAAGTTCAATATGTTTGGTACGAGCAAGGAAAACTGGGTTGTTGGACATTGAATGACACTTGTGTTATCACATAATAGTTTTGGAGGTTTATGTAGACGTATTCCCATGTCACGAAAGAGAAATGTGATCCACGTGAGTCAGCTGTTGCATTTGTCATTGTTCTATATTCTGCTTCAGAGCTTGATTGAGAGACAGCTGGTTGCTTCTTTGAGGACCAAGATATATTAAGTTGGAACCCAAAAAGATACAGTAGCCAGATGTACTTCTTCTAGTTATTGGACATCCCCCAATCTGCCTCACAAAA